TCACATGTATTTGATAATCACTGATGTAAGAAAAATGGGGTAACTTGTTTAAGTGAATTTTAAGTATTAAATGCATCAAAATGCAGGATTTTGGGTGCCCTCCCCCCCTACTTGGCTTCGATTATTTTCAGGATTTTTAGGAAAGGGACACTTTCATCTCTGTAAATAATGAATATTAAATGATTTTCAAAATGAGTATCATGTCAGATGTGTTCTTTAGGTACTTAAACGCTTTTATTTTTTTATGTTCTAACAGTTCTGTGACCACAAGCTGTACTAATGGAAAGTTTAGCCATACAATTTCATGGTGTTAAAAGTATCCAAGAATCTCTTGTGCGTTAGTGTTTACCAAAAGGTTGCCAGTATTGAAGAATGAATGAATGAATGTGAAGATGATTAAAAATTGAAGGATAAATAAGTGGAATGCTATCACCTAAGTAAACAATTTATTGAGCAAGCCTCAGTTAATGCCTGTTGGTACGACAGCTTGCCACTTGAACTGTTGTATCATTAGGCTTGACAAAGAGCATTTACTTAACACATCATCCAATATGTGGAGCAGAGCAGTGCATATTGGTTTGTCCCTTTTCATCCATTCTGATCTTGTGGACAGGATATCTCAAGATTGGATGGATACTTCGGAGACTTGTACAACAGGTATTACATGTCTAGACCAGATTAACTTTGCTGGTATGCTATTCGTAACTTGCCGTGATTATAACTTTTGTGTTCCATTTCAGCAACTCTCTAGTTACTCAGTTGAGCTGAAAGCCAAACCTGAACATCACAAGTTTTTAATTGGAAGGAATGGAACAAATATTAAAAAGGTAAGGGTGTTTACTTTTAGTAGACTTACTTTAGACCAGGGATTTCTGGATGTGTTATTTGCCTTTATTAAAGCAAGTGTGATGCCAAGATAAAATAAGTTAAGTCTTTTACAATTAAAAAAACTCACACACACATATATACGTAAATAGATATAAAACATAGCTTCAGTACTACTTTTTGGTCTTGGATTTTTAATGGAATTATTTAGACTTTTCACCATACAAAAAATTTCTTTTTCTTTCAAGCATTCAGGTCTGATTGGAGCCTTCAACAGATTATAATGATAATTTTTGTTCAATATAAGTTTAATCCATTTGATTTGTTCCCTCGCTGTATGTGTTTTGTTTTTGTGATTATTATATATGTGCATGAACACAGCGTTATTTTCCTTTATACGTGTCTCACAAGTAAAAAGTTACAATAACACGTTTTACCTTTCAATAATAGTAATTAAAAATGACAGTGTTCTTAGTAACAAATGTACGACCTAAAAAACTGTTAAATTAATATGTACTGTAAATGTTACATCTGCTTTAAATTAAATTGCATATTAGGTTAACAGCTTTGTGATGAGAAGTTTTATAATGAAGATCAGGGTGACCATCAACCTATAAAAGTTTGAGAAGGGGCTCAAAAAACCTGGGTCCTTTTAAAATTTTGGAGCTTTCATACATACACAAATCATGCTGCTAAGCTATACCAATTATTGACCTTTCTTTGAGACGAGTAACCAAGTTAATTTTTCTTAACAGAATTAATAAAAAAAAACTTTTGTGTGGTTTCAAAGTTTTTAAATTCCTTCAACAGGTACGAGAAAAGACAGGAGCTCGTGTTGTTTTCCCATCAGACAAAGATGAAGACCGGGAATCCATTGTGATAATTGGTCGTAAAGAAGCAGTAATGGAAGCCAAGAAAACACTTGAAGATATGGTAAAAGATCTGGTAAGTTCTTTTTATACTATTTATTTCAGCTTTTCAGAAACACAAATTGAAACATTACTGGTTCAGAATTTTCTTGTATGGGTAGAAAAAAAATAATTTTCTTCATTTAAATTTTAGTATCTTGATGTGTTAACTCTCTTCCCTCTGCACATGTTCGGCCATTTTCACTGACCTGGTAACCATAAAAGTATCCATACTGTAACTTTTAAAGTAGCATGTGTGTCTTAAAAAAATGTAGCAAGCTTTTGGTAAACATTACAAGACTTTTGTAAACAAAAATATCAGATATTTTAAATATTTTAATTAAGTATTTTTCTAAAAATACTGTGGATATATGGAGTCAGAGTTTGACTTAGACTCTGATTAGTCTGAGTGTAAGGTGATTTTCATGTTACAATTTTTAAATTTCATTAGCATTATTCCTAAAACCTCCAAAATGAATATGAAGTGTTTTTTTTCAGTAAAATTAAATTTTATCTATTCTTTGATAGATTGTTTAGACAGAGTATTCATTATATTTTATCTTTTATTTTCTTTACTCTTAACACTTTATGGCTCAGTCCATTTAACCAACCTTGAAACTACCACAAAAAATAAAACCGAAAGATCCTTCTATTTCTTTCTAGAATGCCTTTAATTTTCACATTTTAGTTACTTTTATAACAATAAATAAAACATTTACATAAAAAGCAGAAACATAATACTTGTGTTTGGCTTCTGTTTTTTTTATTTTGATCCTCTGACAAAAATCATAGTTCGTTGTAATGATATTACAGCAACTAAAATAGTTATTATTTATTTGAAATACACACATGAGAATACAAAATAATAATACACGAAGTAAACAATATCCTATAACTATTATAATTTAACTGGCTCTCTAACTGAGGTATAAGTGCTTTAAAATAATTCCCCTGGCTATTTGTTATGAACTCAGTAATAGCAACTTTGAAACTGTAGGCAAAATAACAAAATCCTTACTGAGAACAAGGTAGCATTATATGACATTTGGTTGATTAAAACTTTGTCTTTTTTTTTGTTTTTGTAAATGATGTAATAAAAAACGTCAGAGAGAGAATTATTGGCAATTTGTGAAAGAGGGGGATGTGTAGGAGGGCATGACAAGGGGGATATGACTTTCTGGCTCATATATCTGTAAACAAAGATGATTGAATGCTATAAAAATTAGTCTAATAATTAGTAATATCTATTCTGTAATGGGTAATTTATATTACACTCGGAACATCATAGAGGAGTGATGCAAAAATAGAAAACGGGCCAGTTAGAGTCAACACTGACAATTTGAGTTTGAGAGTTTATATTTCCTTTTGAAATTAAAGAATTTAAAGTACATTGAAATTTAATTTATGAACTACAGCTTGATCAGTTTATTCATATACATTGATAATAAAGTAGTTTAATTAAACTTTGAATGTAACTCTGTAAGAAGTGGTGTGCAAGTTTTGATGATTTGGTTTAAAGATGATATGGATTTCATTAATAGTTTTAAAAGCATGTCCTACTCGTGTTTTTTAGCCACACAAGTGATCTGTAGAAACATGTTATACCTGTTTCTCAGGCACATTGGCAGCCTATCAAAGGTATACCTCTCAGATTTTTGCTGCCCCAAAAAATCAGATGCTGTTCCAAATTTTCATTATAAAACTCTCTCTCGTTGTATATTTAACTTACATTTTCAAGAAATATATTTATAGCACAATTATTATTTAAGTGTATATGATACCAAGTCCAATATATGTTCACAACAAAGATGGTGTTTATTAAGAAACTACTCAACACACGTTTTTCCAGTTACTTTGTTAACTTTATGATAGAGTAGATTTATAATTCTCTTATTTTAGTCTCTAAGGTATTTATTCTATCTGCAAAAATATCAAAAAATGGTCCTGTTTATTGATTAATTTATCTCTAGTGACATGACTATGCCATGGGGTTTTATTAATACTGTAGAGTTTTTATACTTTTAAAGTTGGAGAAAGTAAAAGCTTTTCAATGTATATTTCATATCTTGAAAATAATGTTGCAGTACGTTTATTCTGTGTAATTCAAAATGATTTACAAAATTACTGATTATATTGTATAAGAACTTCAAAAACATTCTGAATTTAACTTTAAACTTCCAGAAATGGTGTGTTAGTACAAGAAAATAGTTATATTTGTGTCAACACATGAACGGCACGGCTGACCAAGTCTTAATAAAAAGTATTTAACTCTACTGCAGAATGTTTAAGTGGAAGATGTAGATAAGTGTAAAAAAATAAAAAGTATTCTCTAAAAGTTAGCCACCGATTACTTTTATACCGACCGCTGCTAAAGTTTTCTCAAGAATATTTTCTGTGATGATGAAATTTCAAATCAGATTAACATTTCCATTATGTAATAAACAAACGAGCACAAGATCTATAAATAAATGTCTATGTTTTACTGGAATTGAAATGTTCCCAGATGTTATAAGGCTTTTTGTTTTTGAGTTAGATTTTAACCCTCTGCATATAGGCTTAGTCATTTTGACTGACCTTGTTACCAAGAAAGTATACATACTATAACTGAATTTACTAAGTGTACGCTCCTAAAATTTTGCAAGCTTTTGGTAAACATTACATGTCTGTATTACAAAACAAATAAGATTTTTTAAGTACAGGGTGGTCCAGAATTAAGTTTCTTATTTTAAAATTTAATAATTAATTAAAGAAATACAACCACGTAATTTTCAACATCTTGTAGCCCACTGAAAGCATAGTACAATGTCGATAAAAGTCAACCCTAATTTTTGGTAGAATTATTGTTAGCACTTTACTGAATTTTTTCATTTCAAATATTCAGTTTCGATTACAAAATAATAACAAACACAAATAATACATTATCCTGTAACTATTATAATTCCATTTACACTTTTAAGACATTAGTATTAGGCCTATTACATTTTTAAACTACATTCTTTATCTAGTCCCTTAGGGATTTTCAAGAATTAGAAGAGTGTATAATAATAGTATTCCAAACACACAATATTTGTCAATGTGTTGCTGACAACACATTTCACTCAATCCAGAGCTCTTCAAGCTGGCTGTAATACAACCAACACAGCAGTGGTTGGAACACAATTTACATGAGCCATTTGATACAACATCAATAGTTATGGTGTGTACAACTTTAACGAGCTAGTGAAGAATGATCACAATTATACTTGTCATAAGACATTAGTATTAGGCTTATTACATTTTTAAACATGACATTTTTTTTGTTTAGTCTTTTAGGGATTTTCAAGAATTAGAATAGTGTATAATAATAATGATATTAATGTCTTATGACAAGTATAACTGTGATCATTCTTTGCTAGCTTGTAAAAAGGTGTACACAAGACTATAGCTATTATAATTCAACTGACTTTCTAATTAAGCTATAAGTGATTTAAAGTAATTCCTTTGGATAGTTGAGGTGACTTGTCGATAGTGAACAATTAAAATGTAGACATAATTATTTAAAACCTGTCATCAGAACTATCTAGCGTTGTAAAGATTTCAGTAAATTAAAAGTTTTGATTGGTTATAATTAATCCTAATGCATATGTCCGAGAGCATTATTGACATTTTTTGAAAGACTGGTGTGATTGGAGGGTATGGGTTTGACGTTCCGATTTATATTTTAGTAAAGTAGGAACATTGGAGGCTAGATGATTAAATTGTATTAGCAATATCTGTACTACAAGGAGTGAAAAGAATATGAAAAGAAAATGAGCAGTTTGTATGGAAATGTTACATGATACAGAGAAAGAGGATTGGGGAATTTATTTAAATATTTTGTTTTGAAATTAAGAAATCAAAACTCAGATAATATGAAAACTTGAATTATAAGCTACATCTTGATGTTAGATTTATTGATAATACATTTATAATAAAGTGGTTGAACTAAATTTTGAATGTAATTCTGTAAAAAAGGTTTTGTGCACTTTGACCTACCCACATTCAAAGGATTAAATGGATTATCTTTCATTTAAGAAGCTTATGATGAAATCTGAGATCAATTTATTTATTTATGTATTTCAGGTCTCTGCATTTTTATAGAATTGCACTCATTAAAAGTGGAGTAATAAATACTTTGACTTAATATTATAAGCTTTGAGGATTCTACTCACATTACAAAACCAAGCTTCAAGGATCCACGTTAATATTATGAGACCAAAGTCATACTTAAGAAGAAAAAGAAAAGTAAAGGTACTTTCTTGTTGTTTAGGACAAGGTGGTAACAACAGAGATGAGAGTTCCTCCTAGGCATCATCGGCACTTTGTTTTACGTCGAGGAGAGGTACTTCGTCAAATTGCTGAAGATTTTGGTGGAGTCAATGTCAGCTTTCCTCGTAGTGGTAGTGATAGCGACCTGGTTATTTTAAAGGGGGCCAAAGAATGTGTTGAAGGGGCCAAACAGAGGATAATGGAAATTGTTTCTGAGCTGGTAAGTTTCAAGGCTGTATTAAATGTGTACTAGAGGCTAAGCAGAGAATGATTATTGATCTCAAACTAATTTTAAAGGATCTAGTGTTGTGTTCAAGTATTAATTAAGGAGTATTGAAGGTGACGGTGAAGTGATAATATTTATAAGTTGGTAAAGGACTCAAGTTTTTGTTAAAGTCGTTGCTTTAAAGGAACCTTTCCAAGTGACTGCATTATTTTATATTAAGTTGTTCTTTATGGAAAATAACCTCAGTCAATAAGTTAGTTGTTTGAGATGTCACATAAAACTTTTTAGCCTACCTTCTGGTGGTTTAGCAGTAAGTCAGAGGGCTTATAAAACTAAAAACTGGGTTTTGATACTCGTAGTGGACACAGTACAGATAGCCCATTGTGTAGTTTTGTGCTGATAACAAACAAACATCACAACAAATGAAAATTTATTTAAGCAAAAGTTACCTAATGAATTGGATAAATCACAAAACGAAAAAACTTAACCAGCAGTTTAACTTGAGAGATATGAATTTGTACCTTCAAATTTCATTAAATATAAAACTTAAGTCAAATAATTTTTCCATGTTTGAAACTTCTTCTACTTTAATTTTATTGACCAAATTGTCGGGCTGTTGATTTACTGTGGTTATATTGTTTGTTGACCGTGATCAAAACAAGCTAGAGGTAGCAAACCAATAACGTAGCTGCTTCGTTAGTTTTTCATTTTAAGCTCCATGATTGTAACAATTAAGTGGTTATAGTACAACAGAAAAAAACTCATCTGAGGTTGCATCATTCTTTTGGTCTTGTGTGTCTTAATGGTTAGCATGCCCAAAACTCTGAATCCAAAGGTTCATGGTTTGTGTCTTTATACTGCATAAATGCACTCCACATGTGATGAAGTCCCACTCTATGATCAGACGAGAGTAGCCCAAAAGTTGATATTTGTGTCGTTGAATAGCTGCCTTTCCTCCAGTTTATCAGTTCAAAATGGGGGTCAGCTATGTATGGATATCGTTTGTGTACCTTTGTGTAAACGTTCTAAAAAATAACATCCCAATTTCTTAATGGAACTGTTTCATATTTAAAAGAAAGCTATCCCTTTTGTTATCATAATTTGTTACTGATTTCAGTTTTCACTTGTTTAGGAGGAAATGGTTACAGTTGAGTGTATCATCCCACAAGTATATCATCGAACAGTGATGGGTGCTAAAGGGCACAAAGTACAGGCAATCACCCAGGAATACAGTGTCCAGATCAAGTTCCCAGACCGTGAAGTGAAAGATGGTAAGTGGTTTTCCAACAGCAAATGGAGAAGTTTGTTTCATTGAAATTTTAGATATAAATCATTTAGGAATTTAAATTTTCTGTGGGGGTAATATCTTCAAACTTTGAGGTATGTGGTGCCTGTTAGCAGCTTCAGATCTTCTGTGGACTAATGTACTGAAACCTGAAGGTACGTGATACCTGTTAACAAATTAGATGTTCTGTGGACTAATGTACTGAAACCTGAAGGTACGTGATACCTGTTAACAAATTAGATGTTCTGTGGACTAATGTACTGAAACCTGAAGGTACGTGATACCTGTTAACAAATTAGATGTTCTGTGGACTAATGTACTGAAACCTGAATGTACGTGATACCTGTTAACAAATTACATGTTCTGTGGACTAATGTACTGAAACCTGAAGGTACGTGATCTCTGGTAACAAATTAGATGTTCTATGGACTAATGTACTGAAACCTGAAGGTACGTGATCTCTGTTAACGAATTAGATGTTCTGTGGACTAATGTACTGAAACCTGAAGGTACGTGATCTCTGGTAACAAATTAGATGTTCTGTGGACTAATGTACTGAAACCTGAAGGTACGTGATACCTGTTAACAAATTAGATGTTCTGTGGACTAATGTACTGAAACCTAAAGGTACGTGATCTCTGGTAACAAATTAGATGTTCTGTTGACTAATGTACTGAAACCTGAAGGTACGTGATACCTGTTAACAAATTACATGTTCTGTGGACTAATGTACTGAAACCTGAAGGTACGTGATCTCTGGTAACAAATTAGATGTTCTGTGGACTAATGTACTGAAACCTGAAGGTACGTGATCTCTGGTAACAAATTAGATGTTCTGTGGACTAATGTACTGAAACCTGAAGGTACGTGATACCTGTT